TATATTCCTCAGCCAAAACAAATTCCATGGCTAAACTCAGAGTCAAGTAGTGGGGAAATACTGAGAACTACGAAGTTATGAGGCAGCAGTCAGGGGTATAGGGAGGGGTAAACTGGGACTCAAAATTCAAACTATCAAAGTGGGAAAATGTCAGAATATTTTGGGAAGGAAAAAGAATGTTTCTAGCTGTTGAAAGATTGTCTCCTGAACTAAACCTAAAAATCTACTTTGAAAATATTCTTACTGGAGCCAGGCACAGTAGCTCGCACCTGTAATTCCAGCACTTTGGGAGGCCGAGGCAGGTGGATCACCTGAGGTCAGGAGTTCAAGACCAGCCTGGCCAACATAGTGAAACCCTATCTGTACTAAAAATACAAAAAAAATTTAGCCAGGTATGGTGGCACTTCCCTGTAATCCCAGCTATTCTGGAGGCTGAGGCAGGAGAATAGTTTAAATCTGGGAGGCAGAGGTTGCAGTGAGCCATGATTGCGCCACTGCACTCCAGCCTGGGTGATAGAGCGAGACTCCATTTCAAAAATAAATAAATGAAATAAAAAAGAAAATTTTCCTATTGGAGTCAAGTTTTCAATTCTGTATAAATGTTAATGACTATGGTACTCCTAATGAATATTTGTGAATATATTATTTTATAATGTATATTTGTTAAACCAAATTTCTGAACTTTGTTCTGAAGTTAGGGAAAACTTGAGCATCCTAAGGTTTCTGGTGATGATGAACACCGTGATGTTGCAGATTCATGAACTGTGAAGTGGGTTGAGGCACTGAAAGAAAGCAAAGCTAGTCTACAGAGTCCACTGACTTGCCCTTCCAGAGATGTCTTCCTCATGGTTCTGTCAGCTCTGAGCTGGCTCTCAGGTAATTTCTTGTCAAGTGCTAGCTGAAAATGGCTAAAAGTATTTATCTTTCAGGGTGCATTTGGATGGTAATAGTAGAATCTTAGAAACCTAGGGAAGTCTTCAGGGATGAATCTCCAATGCTGGAAGATGAGGCAGCTTGACAGTACATCTAATGATTTTTTTTTTCCCTCAAAGTTGAGAAAATTTTATGACATTTAAAGCACTTCTACACGTTACACTGAATCACACTGGCAATTTCCTGTGCTTCAATGTATTGTATTATTTATTCTTTATAGCAATCTTCAGACACAGACAGGAAACACATTCAGAGGAAATCACTTGCTTACCTTAGATCACACAGTAAATGGTAATAATAGGCCTGGAATCCAAGTCATCTGGTATCAAGTTCAGATTTTTTCCTTACATTGCTGTGGCAGAAGTACTTTAAAACTTTTTTTTTTTTACTCTGTGTCCTCCTGTGCCTCTCTTCTTCTCCCAACCCCACACCTTCTTCTCTTTCCTGTTTCTGTTCTTTTATCACCTTAGTGGCTTGGCCTCATTTCCTTCTGATACATTAGCTAGTGAACCCATCATCTTGAAAGAGGAATATGGTGTATTTCCCCCTGTTGAGCTACTGCTTAATTTGTCAGCCTCCTTTACCCTGAGCCCACTGTGATGACTGGACTCTTCAACTATACCTAGAGCTTTGCTCCAGCTTCGGCCCCAAAGACATTAAATAATTAACTTTCAGCACCCTTCCTTTGTGTGCTTTATCTCTTCATCACCCAAAATAGCTGGTGGCATTTCCTCTGCATAAATAGAAAGCAGAAAGGTCAGTTGGCATTTTTGAAATATATATGTATATATATTTTACAAAGCAGCAAGCTAGCAGGGTCCCTTTATTTGCTCATCCCTGTGACTGTTTTATAACAAAAAAACTTCCTAATTTAACTCCTTAGCCCATTTCCCCCACCATCTTGCAGTTGGATAGTTATTAATACCCCCACTGAAGTTGTTCAAAACTAAGACTGAGTACAGCTGAAGAAGAAAGCATTTTCTCAATAGTGATAAGTAAAAGATATTTTCTTCAAGTAATGTTAAATATTGTTCCCCACTTTCACCCCAGTGAACAAAATGAAAGTAAACTTGAGTGAGCTTCTCTTTAGAGGCATGGAGCTATGATTCAAAATGATATTTATTCCTAGCTCTTTTTTCTTTTACACCTGATGAGTGAATAACACAAATCCCTGGAGATTAAGCTGTTTTTAGTCTGCACCTGTTTTCTAAGAACCATGTTCTGAAATGCAAAGGTATGGGAATGTGAATCTGTTTGTGAAAGAGACTATTTGAGAACCTAGCTATTTCCTCTTTGGACCCCACACACAAGTTTTGTTCTGTTTTCACTGTCAACAAGGTCAGGTGCAGTGGCTCACACCTGTAATCCTAGCACTTTGGGAGGCCAAGGCAGGTGGATCACAAGATCAGGAGTGTGAGACCAGCCTTGCCAACATGGTGAAAACCCATCTCTACTAAAAATACAAAAATTAGCCAGACCATCAACAATAAGATTCAGCAACTTTTATTAACTTGGGCAGTATTATGGTCCCTGCTCTTCAGTCATATTTGTAATCTGGTTGGTCACATAAGGGCATGTGGGCCCTGGGGTGTGCATTTTCTGGGGTGAGATCTCTTCCCTGTCAATGTGATGGCAATTTGCATGCTGGCTCTCAGCTGCGCTGTGGTCACATGCTCCCATCATCCAAGGTTTCCCAGAGCAAACCTGAATTTCAGTCTTCTACCATGGCAACAATCATGGGTCCTAGATTTTGACTTGGATAACGCATTGAAGTTCCAAATTCTGAGAAGCCAGTATTTGAAGTCTGCTTTTCCTGCTGCAGACACAGGAGCTGTGAGAGTACAGACACGCTCCTGTCCCCCAGCCTCCCAGCCAGCAATGATTCTCCAGTATTCAGGGAGAGAGGGTGAGAATGGGCATCGTTAGCTTTGGGAAGAGGCAGAGTGAAGATCTGTGCAGCCCCCAATACCTCTCCAAAGTGTAAGGGAGTTGTGGGATCTCAGGAGAGTGATGTTCATAACCCTTGAGCACTAGAAAAACTGTGGGTTCACCTGGGTGGTTCCTTTGGTTGCTGGGCAGAGATAGAAGTGAAGCCACAGAGCTTAGAGCATTAGGGTACAGTGGCTATGCTCTTTGTTCTTAAAATAAGCCCATTAAGCTCTCTAAAGTTTTTCACACTGACTCCCCTATCACTCCACCCCAATCACTACTTGTTTATATTAACTGTGAAGCATTTGAAGTCTTTGGACCCTTCTTTGAAGTCCTCATACCTTCTTCTATGATGTGAGATGACTTAAGCCCCAACTAAGAGCAGCCAAACCACTGTTCCAAGAAAAGGGAGAGAAGAGAGACAACAGAAAGAAAGATCTTGAACAATGGTTCTGTATGGTGCCAGTGGCATTGACACCACCCGGAAATGTGTTAGAAATGCACATTCTGAGGCTCCACCCTGACCTCTTGAATCAGAAATGCTGGTGATGGAATCCACCAATCTGTGCTTCAGCAAGCACTCCAGGTGATTCTAATGCATGCTTAAACGTGAGACTCATTGGTCTAAAAAAGTGCATCACGCAGGGAGCACAGCACTGCTGGTAACAGGTCAGTGAGATAAAGAACCTCTCTTAGTTTCCTCAGTCATCAGCAGGAGGCAGAATAGTGAATAACAGTACTGTGGGCATCAAATTCATCCCAATAGTTTTGAAATAATAGATATGTTGCAGCCCCTTATCGTTCTAGAGAAGGGAGTGGGGTGGGTCTAGGCTGTGACAAAGATGATCTCCTTGACCAAACTTTAGATAGGCTCTTTTGAGCCCTCTTTTTTTTTTTTTTTTTTTTTTTTTTTTTTTAATGAGGCCTCATTCTTGAGTCTGTCTTCAGCCTGCCAAATCCATTTTTAGCAAGAATTCTGGTAAGGTCAGTTTAGTAAGAATCCCCCACATTTGATAGCTGATCACCCTCAGTATCTGATCAAATTCCTCATCACCTGCCCTCAATCTCTGATCACCCTGGTCTGCCTTCAGCGGGAATCTTAAGTCAGTTTAGCAGGACTCCCCCTGCTATGGTTTGAATATTTGACCCTTCCAAAACTTATGTTGAAATTTGATCCCCAGTGTGGTGATGTTGGGCAGGGCGGGGCTCGTGGAAAGTGTTTGGGTTATAGGGGAGGACCCTCATAAATAGCTTGGTACTGTTCTGGAGTAGTGAGTTCCTGCTGTCTAGGCTGGATTATTTCTTGTGGGGATGGGTTATTTCCCCGAAGAGCAGGTGTTATAATGCCAGGACGCCCCTCAGGTTTCCCGTCTTCGTATTTGTCCACTCTCCTTCGTTGCCGTGTTGTGGAGCATGACCGCTTTTGCCAGAAGCTGGGGCCATGCTCTTGAACTTCTCAGCCTACAAAAACATGAGCTAAATGAACTTATTGTCTTTATAAATTACTCAGTCTCTGGTATTCTCTTATAGCAACACTAACAGATGAAGACAACCCCCAACCCCTAAATACTCTTCTTAGATATTTTCCATCCACCAAGCTCCATCCTGCTCCTTGGCTATTAATCTCTAGTTTTCTTTGCTTCAGCAAAGAAACTTCAGAGTCAAGCCCAGTGCCTCTCCTGTATTGCACTATTGTTCATACCTATCAAAACAGTCCTGATTACAGTCTTTTTGCCATTCAGTAAGTGTCAGAATAATTTTTTTCATAAACAGTATTTTTAAATGTGTCTGTGTTTAAAAAGCTTCACAAGCAAATCTAATGAAAATTCTGATAGACAGTGGTTATGATTATGGATTGCGGAATGAGACAGACCTGGGTTGGAATGCCAACTCTGCTTCTTGCAGTCAAGTGACTAAGAAAATTACTCAACCTGATCATCTCTCTCTTTCTCTATCTTTTTCTCTTTCTTTTGCTCTCCCTCTCTCTCTCTTGAGTTGATAAAAAGATCCAATGACAGCCTTTAAACTACTAAGCATGGTACTGACACATAACAGGCACCAAATGAGCCAAATATTACCAGGTCTAAGTAATAATTATCAAAAGATAGATATGTTACATTTAATAAGAAAGTTTTACATAAGGAAAAGATAAAATAGGTGATTTATTTTGTAACTATGAAAACTACGTTTATTTTGAATACAAATCTTCAATTATCTGTGGATGAGTTTGAAATAAATCATGGAAGAGAATCACTTTTTGGATTTTTAATCCAAGTCCTTATGTGTGTATGAAATAGATATCTTGCTTGTTAGTCACAGGAGGGCAAAAGTGGATGAAAAACAAGTCAGCTAAGACAGGCATGTCTGGCTTCTGGGCTGCAGCTCAGCATGTTGTAGGCTAGGGTCCAGTGACCTTCACTGGCAGGCTGCCCACAGTCCATGAGACCCTAGGCAGTCAGGCACTGAGCTGTGTCCTCCAACTAAAAATGATAAAGAGCACATGGCTTCTTCCCAGTCCTCATCAGGGTGACTCAATCATGCTGGAAGCCCTAAGGGTGCACCTGAGAGAAATGCTTTTCAGGGAGCCAAACTTGATGTGTAAGCTTATCTCAGGGTATAGTCCAAGTAACACTTAGGACTGCAAGTATAGGCAGCTATGCTTACTGCTCTCTAAAGAAGACTTCTGACGAGAAATTAAAAGTCAAGATGTGAGCTCTGCCTTTGTATCCATTTCCCATAACAGAGTTCAGCTTGTATGTTAAATGCATTTTCACAGAAATTTGTCCACTTGAACTTCTGCTTCTTTTTGACAGTTGCCTAGAGATGGTTCTGGAGAGTAGGTTTTTTTTCCCATTGTGATCAGCAACTGCTCTTCAAAGTAGAGGAGCTGGTCCACTTCAAAGCAGTCGCTGGCTCGAGGCACCACTTTTTCCAAACACTCCCGGATCTCTGCTTCACTAGCATTCTGATGCCTTGCTCTCTTGAGGTAATTATAGACCTCTTCAAATACTTCTGCCCCCAGCTTCTGCGTGGCTGACCTGCCAAAAAAGTTACAAGAGTATGAAGAGTTACACATTAAGATCACTTGCAAGAAAATGTGCTTTTAAATCATTGATTTTACAAATAACATTGTCATTCTAGGATTTAGAAAAAAAGGGGAAGAATAAGACACAATGTCTCCACCCTAAACATTTAACAATATTCAACAAATAATGCTTCAACGTCTATTATGTGCCAGGTACCCTTCAAAGAACTGTTAATATAGCAGTAAACAAGGCAAAGTCCTGCCTCTGTGTGTGTGTGTGTGTGTGTGTGTGTGTGTGTGTGTAAAATACACGTATATAAAGGTGTTCATATAAACTACACACACACACACACACACAAACACACGATAAGATATCAGATGGTTCTAAATGCAGTGAAGAAAAAGCAGGGTGAGGCAGGCAGGAAAATCCTTCTGAGGAAATATCATTTGAGCAAGAGCTCTCAGGAAGTAAGACAAATACTAGGGGCAAGATAATTTGGGCCCTAAGGCTAAAACAAACTGAAAAAATAACAAGAAAGCTATTGTGGTTGGAATTAGTAGAACAAGGGGAACAGGATGGTGGGATATGAAATCCAGAAATAGTTAATAATAACAACATAATAGGAGGAGGAGGAAAATGAGGGGAGAAGAATTTTATTTGCCACTTGCCAGGCTCCTTTCTACCCACTTTGCCCTTACAATCACACTTAATCTTTGCAACAGCTTTACAAAGGAGGCAATTTTTTAAATCTCTATTTTACAGATGAAGACACTGACGCTTAAAGGGGTAAAGTCATTTAGCCAAGTTTCTACCCAGGCCAACATTCCTTTTTAACGCACTTCCAGTTTTTGTCCATATGTCAATACAGTCTGTACGTTATAATCATATTGCCATTGACTACTTTCCTCTATCTCCAGAAAGCGTCACAAAGTAAAGACCTATGGGCAAAATCTGGCCCATGACACATTTTGTTTGTCAATACTATGTTCCTTTGTTTTATTACTTTTAAATGTTTTAATGTGAATGTCTTTATGTGGGGCCTACAAGCACTCTCTACTCTGCATTTTCTGACTGTCTTTGACTAACCTCCCCTATCTTGTATCATCTTGTATGAGAACCAGGCTGCTTCTCATAGTTCTTCTACCTGCTTAACTCAAGGGCATTCAAGTTGGTGGATTTTGTTTTGCGGTTTTTCATTGTTGTCATTTTTTTAATGGCTCCATATTGTTCCACTGAATTTATGTGCCAATATTTACTCCATTATGTCTTCACCAAACAATTAGATTTTTTCACTCCTTTTCATGATTATATAGTGTGAATATCTCATCTTTAGATACTAGGCCTTTTCATTTTAGGGAATATTTTAGAGGACTATTTCATTTTAGGGATTTTTCTGACAACAGATATTTAGAAGTTGGGCTAATTACATGTGTGTATTCCCTCTAAAAATTATATGTGCACTTATGCTCTTCACTTTTCTCTGAAGGACAGAGAAAAGAGTAACTATATGTTGTGTTTGATTAAATGATAAAAATGTTCTGGGAATGAGATTATTAGGTCAAAGAGTATAAATATTTGTGTGACTTTAACTTTGAATAAATATTTTTTTTCTTCATTTCAATGGATTTGGTAAAAAGAAAAACCAAGATGCGTATTTTTTTCACAATTTTTAAAGCATTAATCCTTAACAGTAATGATAGTATTGTTGATAATAACATTGGAGACATTAGTCACAGACTCTTTCATTCATTTTATAAGCTTTTTTGTTCAGTGTTATTCAACCTTGTAATCTCTAAATCATAGGATATGGTGTATGTATTGTGGCATATAAAGAGATGAGTAGGTAATTCTTCTGGCTCTGGCTTAAAGGCTAGTAATGATAATGTAAGACATAAATTTTTAATTTTTTTAAATTTTTTTTTGAGATGGAGTTTCGCTCTTGTTACCCAGGCTGGAGTGAAATGGCGCGATCTCGGCTCACCGCAACCTCCGCCTCCTGGGTTCAGGCAATTCTCCTGCCTCAGCCTCCTGAGTAGCTGGGATTACAGGCACACGCCACCATGTCCAGATAATTTTTTGTATTTTTAGTAGAGACGGGGTTTCACCATGTTGACCAGGATGGTCTCAATCTCTTGACCTCGTGATCTACCCGCCTTGGCCTCCCAAAGTGCTGGGATTACAGGCTTGAGCCACCGCGCCTGGCCCCATACATTTTTAATTTTAACTAACATTTCTATAGCACTTTAGAGCTTGCAAAATGCTTTTGCATTCATTATTTCAAGTGCTCCTTGTGAACTAGGCAATTCATTGAACATTTGTCTTCATTTTACAGATAAGAATAGGTAGATTTTCAGTAGTCTTTCACAAGCTCACACAATTAGCGTGGTAAAATTTGGATTCAGATACTGATCTTAAAACACCAGATGCTGGAGAAACCAGCAGCCCTAGGGTCCACATCATCCAGCTTGAATAGGTTTCCCACCTTCTGTCATGAGATTATCAGGACAGATTCCAGCATGCCTGACATCACTAGTTACCTCAGTCACCCATGGAAATCCCAGTGTTTTCTTCTGCTGACATCACCAAACCCTGATTATTTCCTTTACACATTCATTACTTCAGTGACTAGCTGACTCTCTTCCACCTCATAGTCTGTTATCATTGTTGACTTCCATATCTTGCTGTCTCTGGTTTTGAACTGCCTCATATTCAGCCATCATTTCTCTTACCCTACCTGAGTTGCCCATTCCCATGATCATTTCAATTGACCTCTTCAGTGCCAATGACTACGTGACCTCTAAAATTGATTTCAAGCCTCCTACTCTCTAACCACCCCCTCTATGCACCCCCACCATACTTACCAGCTAGTCTTCCACTTCGTGGTGCCCTTCATTCCTTCGACTCTACCCCCATGATAATAATTACTAACTTCCTTTGTAATCTCATATACTCACTCCCACCTCACAGTTAAATTTCATGGCCTGTCATCATAACCATTATCTTCCAAATAACTTAGACTTCTCCACCCCTTTTCCCTTTGTTTGGCAAAGACCTAATGATTAAACTCAGTCATACCTACTCCATGTCTGTACCCAAATGACCCATATTTATGGAGAAAAGCATCCAAATATACCAACAAGTCTCTCATTTAAGTTGATAATCTTGATTCAGAATGTCACTCAGCACTGCCCAATCATCTTACCATGGTTTTATTTTCCTCCCTAAATGACTATTTCAAATGTTTGCCTTTATTCTTTCAAAAAATATTTTATTTTTTGATTTTAAAATTTTATTGTGTATATTTGAGGTTTATAACATGTTTTGGGATACATATAGATAATAAAATGGTTACTGTCATGAAGCAGATTAACATATCAATGACTTCACATAGTTACTTTTTTGTGATAAGAACAGCTAAAATCTACTTTTATTTTTTTGAGATCGAGTTTTGCTCTTATTGCTCAGGCTGGAGTGCAATGGCATGATCATGGGTCACTGCAACCTCTGCCTCCCAGGTTCAAGCGATTCTTCTGCCTCAGCCTCCTGAGTAGCTGGGATTACAGGCATGCACCACCACGCCTGGCTAATTCTGTACTTTTAGTAGAGATGGGGTTTCTCCATGTTAGGCTGGTCTCAAACTCCCGACCTCAGGTGATCCGCCTGTCTCAGCCTCCCAAAGTGCTGGGATTACAGATGTGAGCCACCAAGCCCGGCCTAAAATTTACTTATTTAACAAAAATTTCCAATACAATTTTATTAATTTTTTGTCCTCATATTGCACGTTAAATCTCCAGACTTGTCCATCCTATCTATCTACTGTTTTGTATCCTTTGACCTACATTCCCTCATTTTCTCTCCCCTGCCCACCCGTCCTGAGGTAACCATTGTTTCATTCTTTATCTCTGTTTACTTGAGTTTTTTTTTTTTTAAATATTCCATATATAAGTGAGGTCATACAATATTTTTCTTCCTATGGCTGGCTTTTTTTCACTTGGCATAATGTCCTTGAGGCCTATCCATGTTGTGGCAAATGACAGGATCTCCTTTTATAAGGCTGAATAATATCCCATTGTATATGTATGCCACAGTTTTTTTTTTAATCCACTTCTCCATTGATAGACATTTAGGTTGTTTCCATATCTTGGCTATTGTGAACAATGTTGATATGAACATGGGAGATATCTTTACGAGGTGGTACTTTCTTCTCTTTTGGGTATATACCCCGAAGAGGAATTGCTGGGTTGTATGGTAGTTATATTTTTAATTTCTTTAGGAATCTCTATATTGTTTTCCATAGGGGCTGTACCAGTCTCCCATACCCCCAGCAGTATATTAGGGTTTTCTTTTCTCCACACCCACACCAATACTTGTTATTTCTTCTTTGTAATAATAGACATTTTTAGGGGTGTGAGCTGATATTTCATAGGTTTTAATTTGCATTTTCCTGATGATTAGTGACATTTAGCACCTTTTCATGTATCTGTTGGCCATTTTTATGTCATCTTTGGAGAGAGATCTGTTCAGGCCCTCTGCCCATTTTAAAAACTGGGTTATTTGGTTTCTTGCTGTTAAGTTGTAAGAGTTTTTATGAATTTTGGATATTAACCACTTATTAGATATGTGGTTTGCAAATGTATTTTCCCAGTCTGTAGGTTGTCTTTTCCTTTGTTAATTGTTTCCTTTGCTGTATAGAATCTTTTTAGTTTTATGTACTCCCATCAATTATTTTTGCTAAAGATCAGAATAAAAATAAATTGGGAATACAAAACATAGAAAAAATTAATCAAACCAAGAGTTAGTTATTTGAAAAACAAAACACAATTGACAAAGCCCTAGCTAGACTATGAAATATGAGAACACTCAAATAATAAATCAAATCAGAAATAAAAGTGGAGACATTACAACAGATGCATCAGAAATATAAAAGGATTATAAGGGACTGATATAATTTGGATATTTGTCCCTGCTCAAATCTCATGTTGAATTGTAATCCCCAGTGTTGGAGGTGGGGC